CACTTGACTCACAGGGGTGACAACCAAGAAGACGGGGGAGGGGTCTACAGTCTACACAGCAATCCCACATATGGAAAGGAGCTGTGAACTCGCTCCAACTTACACACCCCCACAGGTACACCCTGCACCCAGCACTTCATCGGCCAGAGACAGTGAGAGGTCCCAGGTAGGAAGGTCCTCCCCTCTCTGTCTTGGACAGCGGCCTCCTTGATCATCTCTCCATACTCTCTGCCCCTTCTCCCCTACTCTCTGGGCCCCTCAGGGTCGGGGCTGTGCCTGAATCCCAGTGGAGTCCCCCCGGCTCCTAGTCCAGCCCAGAGAAGCCCGTGGTAGCTGAATGAGTCGGCTGCTCTTCTGCTTTTCTAACCAAGTGGCTAAGTGGCCAGCCTGGGGCTGGGTCCAGGCAGAGAAGAGGTGCTGCTGCCTGCAACGTGCTCACAAAGTGCAGCTCTGGGAAGACAGTTTCAACAAAATCACTGCCCCCTTCTGACCTTGGTGAGGGCATCCTCAAGCCTGAACCAGGGGCACTGTACCAGCCCACCTCACCTGGCAAGTCCAGGCAAGTCCCCTGGGGGCTGGATCAGTCTGAGTGGCCGGGCTGAGCCTTTCTGCCTGGGGAGATAGCCCTGGGCTGGAAGGCTGGGAAGATGGCCCCAGCGGGGGCACCGAGAACGGGGCGAACAAGGCTCTGAGTTGCTGGAGGTGCCTCATCTTACGTACTCTCTTCCTCTCCAAGAGCGAGCCCCTGACCCTGGCGCCCACCCAGGAGCACTGTGCCTACCGGGAGCCAGGCAGCAGTCAACGAGTGTTGTAGTTGGATATAATGAGCCCCACTTTCGAGATGTGGAAACTGAGGCGCAGAGAGGTTAGGAAATATCCCAAGATTAAACAACTATTAAGAGGTGGGTCTGGGTTTCGAGCCCAATTCCCTCTGACTCCCAAGCTGGCTCTCTCCCCAGTTAGGTTCCAAGACGCAGGCTCAGTGTCCCATCCTGGGGTGACTGCACAGATCACTCCCTGTTCTCTGGCTTTCTCTCCTCCCTTGTGGCCCAGAGGAAGAGCCTGAAGAGACTCGGATGGAGCGTGTCGAGCATGAGGCAGAGGGAGGAGGGGGAGATTCTGGGTTGAGTGGCTTCTCAGCGGCCTTTCATACACAGCCTTCCTTTACAATGGAGAGGCTGGCTCTGTGATGGGCTGGCAATGACTGCCACTCATTATGGTAACAGGGTCCTGACACCCTCCAGGGACCCAGAACCCTGGGCTTTAAAGGGGTCTCAGCATTCTCAGCCCCAGTCCTCTGAAAAGCCCAGGAGCTCATGAGGAACCTTGGCAATGTTTTCCTAGAATTTGAGGGGCAGGATGGGGCTCCATGGAGGTCACAGCCAACTGGCTGGGTCAGAGCAGAACAAAGGTCCTGCCTCTGAGAAGGATCAGTAAGAGAAAATCTGACCCACGAATTGAGCTCAGTGAACTAGAGATAGGAGTATGTGTAAGGGGGTTGACTTGGCTATGT